TCATTTATTCTGGACTGTTATTTGCTACAACATTCATCCTCCATCGCATGGATTATGCATTTTGAGAAATTGGTACACTGAAGGCTCGTGCCGCTTATCCGTCACACGTCAGAATTATACGCGTCAAATTGACAGACAGGGTCCTTTTTGTAACAAGTGTTATCTCCATCTCTCTGGACGCACCAAAAATACTAAAAAATGCACGTTGTATGTCACTTTACCTTAGATAAATGTACCTATCCACGACAAAATGTTAGTACAAGATTTTACAGGAAGAATCGTATCAAATTTTAATAGGCCAACGAATACAACAGTGAATACATAATTACACTGTTGTGACAGATAAAAATTGCTTAAAAAGAAGATAAATGTTAATTCGAATATACCTTTTGAAATACATCCGAGAGAGAAATGTTGCGTATGTGGTATACAATGTGTGGACGATACGTACGTTCATCGAAAAATGCTGGTCCGCGTTGGATGAAAGTCGAGCTGCAAAAAAAGGATGCAGAGAGAAGAAGGGGTGGATTATCCACGGGAAGAGTCGTGAGACAAAGTCCTCTGGAGTAGCAAGGTACAACCGCGAACGAGGGCTAATAACCTAGGAAGTTAATTACGGCCGTAAACTGCGAGGGGGTTGTTTGACTATCCCTTGGCAGCAAGGGTGGCTGACATAACGTGGCCTCGTTATAACAGAGCCGCGTTAATCCCTCGTCTCGCATTGCCCTTTCGAAGCGATCGCACATCGTGAAAAACACCCTCTCGCACCCTGTGTGCCGCAAATCTATGGAAATTAACTCGAAACATCAAACTCAGCCTACGGTTAACCGCGCGTTAACGCCTGTGCAACTATGTTCCCCATAATTATTTTTCACGTAGAAACTTTGCTTTGCCATTTGATCTTTTTTTTAACGCGTTTAAGCTTCTCTATAGTTGATCATTTGTCAAGTTTTGGACCGAGTAATTTGAATTTTTTTCGGGGGGAAATGAGGACCAATTAAATTTTGTTCCAATTCTTTCTTTGCAAAAGAAGTTAGCGATCAAAGTAAAGTATCTTTATTCAGTGGTATTCTTATACATTTGGATAGGTATTAAATTTAGTTAGTATGCTAGTAAAGATTTTATTTGAGTAATTAGAAACTGGTAGGGAGAAATTCCCGAGTTCAAAGATTCATATTTCGTAGTCTATTAGGAAGCAGGTAACAATTTATCATGATTTATCACGATATATCATATCATTTCAATTTTGTGAAATTTCATAAAATTCTAGAATCTACGTGAAAGAAATAACGATGAGAGAGTACCGAGCGAATCCTTTTAAGGAATTTTTTTTAATATTAAAAAAATATAATCCGGTGATATATAAATTGACTGAAAAGTTCCTCATTGCTTAAATAAATTTGCAACCGATGAAATGATGAATCGAACTAATTTGACGTGGACTGGATCATATTTCATCTTTAAAAGAAACCAATATGGGCGTCAAGAAATGACCGATTTGACGTAAAATAATTCATACTTTGTCTTAGATGTTTCTCCTTCATATTTTCCAATATATTACGTGCATTCCTGTATATTGAAATATCTTAAAAACTGTGTAATAACTTCTGCCTCGCATTCCCGAGGCTTTGAACCGCGATGCGTCGTTAAACTATCAAGCGTAATAGAGATCGATATCAAAAGAACGACGCTAGTGCTCGTGGAATGCATACAACCCTCGCTGGCTCGGTTAGATCAATAGATGATTCTACTTAACCAAGCTTCAGTTTTCAACCTTGGTGTAAAGCCTCCGCTGCTGTATGCTACTTGCTGCAGTTATTTTTCCCTCCGAGACTAATTGCAGGCGGAGGGGGAAAAAAATGGCCGCACAAAGTTCGGTATAGTTATTTCTATGCTAAAAAATGAAACGGCTCCGATTAAAACGCGGTCCGAAAAAAGAAGTGGAACACTAGTACTGAAGAGACTGATAACTACGGAGTGGGGGAGAGAAAGAACGAATGTTTACAGTATGAATAATTCATTGTTTCGGTGAAATTGCCCCCGGCACCGGTATGAACAATGAATGAATGCAGTTCGCAATAAGCCGAGAAGAAAATTACACGCAGAAATAATGCTCTGGCTGAAACTTTGTTCCTGCAACCGCCGCCCACGGTTCTACACGAGTACCATGTTAGTCCTTGCTTCCTGCGAAATCTACGGGCGCATACATCTTCCAACGTAAATCACCCGTAGAAGTGTCGTTTCGCGCGACGCATATATCCTCGTTTTATTGTATCTGAATGTTGCTACCGAGAATTTATTCTATTTGCGTTATTACGTTTGTTAAACGACAAAAAGTTCGAAATATCGCAGTCTTCGGGATTGATTGGCTCGAGTTACGTAAAAGGAAGATAATTTTATTTCTACCGGATATATTCAATTTCTCTTTCCTCTTCTACAATGTTCGTCAATAGGTTTAATATACTGAGTTACATTATTGCGAATTTTAATTGAATTATTTTCCCAAAATTGTCGTTCGATAATTCTATCCATATCGTACAATGTGTAAGTTCTCCTACGTTGAGAATCGTAAAATTATGAAATCTACACTGCATTCAACTTAATGTTTGTCATTTTGAGAACTGACAGATTACTGCTTAATCTCGACCAATTTACTATAAGCTCGAACGAAAATTTTACTTAAAACGAGAAAATGTTTTTACGTATCAAGTATTTTCCGTCTTCGGCGTTTCGTCTGGAAGAAATCTACATACAAATGATCTCTGGATGATCAAAAAAGATCATTTCTCTGTCAAAGGTCGGATATTGAACCGTGGTTCCGGAATCGACGCGGGCCATGTTCTATTTCACTGGTATATATCGTTGCTCGCGTACCATCGAAACAATGCGTGTCAGAAAACATTTTTGCGACCGGTCTGAAAAACGTTTCCTTTATCCGTGGGCGCGTGAGCCGGATTGATCGATGAAAAAAGTAGGCTGCAATTCTTTCTCTCTCTCTCTCTTTTTTCCTAGCTGGACAACGATATCATTCAAACTTGATGAATACTGACAGTTGGTAGGGAACACCGGTTGATTATCTTTATGCGCGGCTTGTTTTGCCAAAACCGCGTGTTTCTAATGGCGCCCGGTGCACACCGATTGAAAATTTTAGCGTTATCAAGAGTTGAAATTTTGATAAATCGTTACGAATTGCGTGGATTAAAAAAAAAAAAGAAAAAAAAGAAGGAAAATGAAAAATAGTCACGTTGTACTTTAACTGCCCTCCCGTCCGCCCCTCCGTCCCTCTAGAAAAAAATTGCCAAAGTCCTTTCAACTGCATAGGCTTCAAATATTTTTGTTCGACTCTTTATTCCCCTATGAATAATACCGATCGAGTCGATTCAGTCATTTTTCTTTTCACTTCAATTAGGGATTGTTATTGGTAATGCCGGTTATAAAAGCCTCGTTCCGAATACAATGTATAGAAATAGCTTCCGAACAGTGCTTTCAACCTATTGTGGCGTGCTGCATTTTATACGATGTTGTATCATTTTTTCTTTGTCAGACCGTTCTTGTCGCTGAGTGTCTCTGTTTGAAATTGAAACTAACATTGTTCCCTAACAGATTGAACTTTTCTCGTTTCCATTGAAACAACGCAATTTCCATTATCTGTTTCGATAGACAACCAAGGCGGTTCGTTATGCCGATGAAAAAGGATTCTCCGTTCGACAAAATCGATTATTTCGGAAGGGATAGCTCTTTATTTTGTATATGGATTTTGAAAATTTTCCAGATCTATTCTTGAAGTTAAGGTTCTTCACGATTCTGTTGCTAAAGTTTGCGAAACGATTTTGCAATGTCGAATTCTGTAGACACAATTGAACTAATTTTTCGTAAAAATTTGCAAATCATCGATATTAATAAATATCTTCGAATAACAGTGATAACGAGTTTACTGCAAATATTGATGATGACGTAAACAATTGATATTAATAATTATTAGTAATTGATTAATAATATATATTAATAAATGAATAATTCTATAAATAAACTTGTTCTGTTTATTGAGGAAAAGTTATTAAATCATAAAACAGAAATCTATAACACGTTTGTGTCAGCAACTTGTTACTTTATTAATGTAATCAGTTGATAAATTATTACGCGAGAAATTTGCAATTGATTGATTCGGAAAAGCAATAACGATGTTCCAATCCTCTGGGATTGATCTTTTGGGAATGAAGCTACTCAAAGTTGTTGAGTCTTGCATTTGCGCGTCGATAATTGAATCCCTGCAGATATAAGATTGTAAAAACTTGTAACGATATTGACGAGCGATGAATTTGTTCGGCGAAAGAGTGATTTGTTAAAACGTAACTGGCCACGTAATTAGCACGTAAAAAGCACGATGGAAATTGTGGAACGTGCATGCATGTACACGCGCGGTTCTAAAAATTTATCGTATATCTCGAGTGGCTCTACATTTCAAAAAAATTTTATCAGGAGACGATAATTGTATTCCATTTATGAAAAATGTAGGACTCTTTGCAAGTAATCAGTTTGTCCTTTTTACGTTAATTTTCACACGATGGTTACACTGCACTTATAAGGAGAAGATGCAATTTACATCATTGGGAAACGAATCCTTCGACAAAATACTTTCTAATTGAAAAAAAAAAAGAAAAATTGACATGCATTTACGGAAATGTTCTATGAATATTACCGACTGTTTATACGAGCATAATCTTGAACAAACCGGCGATGATGACTCGTGAGAGCGTAGCGAACAATTTTGCTATGGAAAGTTTTTTTCCTACGAAAATCGTTCAATCGATATTTGTGATAGTATTCAAGTACGTGATTATCTCCCCCGTATCGTCATCAGCTACATGAAACTTAAATTATCTTTTATCGATTATACGAAAGAAATTCGATAAACAGGTCATCGTGCACTTAAACAGATTGCACAATTAGTCGGTTTATAAATAGTCGAGTCAGTGTCTGCTCTGGCTCAGTAATTCGCCATGCTTCGACTAACGATTCTAACGTGTTTCCTGTTCGTCGCGTTGAGCGCGGCGGCGGAACCCTGGTACAAAAATGCCATCGTGTACCAAATCTATCCAAGGAGCTTCAAAGACAGCGACGGAGACGGCATCGGCGACCTGAACGGTATCACGAGTGAGTTGGAACACGTGGCGGACATCGGCGCGGACGCTATCTGGCTGTCGCCGATTTACAAGAGTCCGCAAGTGGATTTCGGCTATGACATCTCCAACTTTACGGACATCGAGCCAACTTATGGAACGCTGGCGGATTTCGACCGACTGGTTAAAAAGGCCAAGTCCCTCGGGCTCAAGGTGATCCTGGACTTCGTGCCTAATCACACCTCTCATCAACATCCCTGGTTCAAGGAGAGTAGCCAGAAGACCGGAAGGTACGACGACTTCTACGTTTGGCATGACGCCAAGATAGTCGATGGGATAAGACATCCACCAAACAATTGGCTGAGCAATTTCCAAAACTCTGCCTGGGAATGGAACGACGTCCGGAAGCAATACTATTTGCATCAGTTCACCACTGGTCAGCCGGACTTGAACTACCGGAACGCGACCCTGAGGCAAGAGATGAGTAAAGTGTTGACCTTCTGGATGGACCGCGGCGTTTCCGGTTTCCGCATCGACGCGATCAAT